GACTAGTAAACGCCGCTTATCTCCGTACCTTCAACCAGCCATCGGGCGCTAAATTACCGAGTAGCTTCCTCATGCTGCTTGTGACTTGGTCTGCAGTACGGATCAATGTTCATGGGAGGTCCGTGGTTAACAATGGGAAAGACATGCAGTATGCATCGAGTAACTGATCATGGACATGCACAGAAAAACCATTGACACTGTTATGTTATGAGACGAAAGACCAATGAGTCACTCCCCCGGACACGATGATGGTTGCTGATGTTGTTGCATAAAACAGCGGAAGGAGCTTGATCCGACCTACGGAATACTATAAATGGTCCCCGATCCTGTTGGGGGCCTCGATAACTGGAAGTAGGGAACGGAATTCCGACCGTTGCTTACTGCCCATAATATTATCGTCTGGTTTCGCCTGTTGTCTCAGACTAGGGCCACTCGAGAGTTCGATGGCTCTTTGATGGGTGTTTAGTGTGGCGGCGACGACGGCTTGGTCCTCTCGATGTGTTAAACCTACTTACTCCTTATGGTGTGAAAAGTTATAGAATGGCTTAGCTTTTTGTGTGAGTCATCGAGTATTAGATGAATCTGGTACTCAATAATTCATCAAGGTTGACCTGATGACCCTCAGCCAAGTGACGGTATGATGACTCAATGCTGTACCTAAGTCAACTATACGCTAGGTGCAGATAGCGCAAAGGAGATGATGAGCAGAGAACCAAATACGGTGAGAGTATGTGCATGGAAACAGACAATAAGGACAAAGCAGTATTGATCGTGTTGAACTTGCTATGGCCCCGTCATGGTAGTTTACCTGTCTGATCGGATATTTGGCGGTCAGCAAAGGCCATGCGGATATCCCCTTCGGGCAGATCCCGCCGGGCTACTATCAAGTGACTTGTGATAAGTCTCGACCATCGGCGCAAGATATAGAAACTTGCTCTTCAATCAGAAAAAAGAGGCAACACATCGAGATAAGAGATTAATGTAGCAAAGTGCCGAATTAAAACAACTGAAGTGCGCTAGCAACCAAGGCCATATCAATAACACGGTTGATATACATCAGTTGAGGGAACAGATATGCCGGTTGCCTCAGGCATAAGTCACATGACCTACCCGAAGCGAAACGCTAAGCCCTGCCCGCACAAAAAAACTACCACTACGAACGGCGATTGAAGACGGTCGACAACCTCACTACCGCCAGTCCATACCCTCAGCTCGCCGTCGCGACAAGCCTTCAAGATGCCGGTTAGCAGCCCCTATATGATATAAACGCATATTGCTATGGGATATTTTTCACGTCCTGCCATTCTGGCCAGACGGATATCACATGGAAACCGCTAGGATGAGGATCAAGGAGGCAGGCTAACGCTTTTATCTTTTCTTCAATATAGAGCCACAAGAGTTTCCGCACCAAGCAGAAGCTTGCCAAAGCTCAGAGACAGAACCGTCCTATCCCCCAGTGGATTCGTCTCCGCACTGGTAACACCATCAGGTAAATAAGAACCCTTGATTTCACCACCATTCGATTCCCGTGTGACGCTGCGACCCCCCGATGGCCTTGGATCGCCTGGCAAAATGGGAGAAGACGGAAGAACTACGAAGGAAAGGATTGGGAATTAACACTGGATGAGCAACCACCACGACTATTTCTACTTGCCAGGATTCGACGATACTCTGCCCTAGGGGGGGTTGGAATTCTTTTCCAAGATGCACACACGGGCGATCAGATGATGCTCAGGAATAGGTCGGATGGCTGACCTCGCTTCCTCTTATCTTTCCAGATACAACGCCAAGCGGAGGCACTGGCGCAAGACCCGTCTCGGTATCTAAATTCGATCAAGCCAACCAACCGACTTCTTCGATTTCGCCCGAGATGTCTTTTCTTTATCCCTGGGAATGTTTCGTTCAGTTGTGATACCGCCAACTCTTGTGTGCCTCTCTTGCTCGCGATGATTGAATCTGCATCATCCTGAACTTGTCGACCCGCTGCTTTCTGATCCACGCCCTTCATCTTCTCTCCTTCGGTTTTTGCTCCTGTTTCCCGGCAAGCATTTTTTATGTGGCAAGCGAATATCCGTTTCTGAACGTCGAACGATATCCGGGACAGGTCTGGTTGAGGTGCAAGCAGTCGTTTTTGGACTGGTTCTGTGATACGGTTATGAATCATGCAATTTAATTACACGAGCTGAGAAAAACAAAAATCGAAAACTTATGAAGGATAACGAGCACTGAACGAAGGTTTTTTTTCTTCTGGGGACTCTACTCTTTGCTCCCACTTGAACGCGGGCTATCTGGAGCGATAAATCTGCCCAAAAAACAGAGTCTCTTCGCCTGTCTTTGCTGAGGTAGCTTTTGTTTCAAGTCATGGATTGACCTTGTAGGAAGTCATATATCGCTGCTAGTATGGTCACTAAAAATGCTGGCTCCGTATATCTTCAAAATCACGAGCATACAATCATACCCCTACAGACGCGACCCTGCGGTCTTGATAAAGTAAAATATGTTCCTAGACCCGGAGTATCTTCAGCATCGTTTAGGCCAATCTCATACAGTAGAGCTGACTCATCTGAAATGGGTGTCAAGGACACAACATCGTAACAAAGTTTGTATTTCAGCTACTAATCGATTAAGCTATATCCCACTGTTGCCCCTAGACAATGGTCCAGGGCCAGTAGGACAAAAAGAAACAAAAAGAACCATGCGCTGACATGAAAAAAGCGAGAACCGAACGCCGGCAACTGCAGCAACTGGAGACCATATGAGGTGTATCAAGCGAAACCATTGTTGAGGATTGCCTATCTTCACAGAGACCACATTTCCCATAGCGAGCCTGCGATCCTTGGAAGATATGGCAGTGCCGCTGACCAGTGACACCAATTCAGCGACTGCAAAGCAACCGGTTAGCATACGTCTCTCCTGTTGTTACGGCACCCGGTAGGAGTTCATGCACTTACTCTTCAGCCCACTCATTCTCCCGGCGGATCTGATCCTCCTCCTCAGGAGTGAAATCGTTCTGAATGTTGAATGTCTTGCGGATTTCTTCGGGGGACTTGCCCTTGATCATGTTGGCGACGGTCTTGCAGCCAACATCCAGCAGGCCCTTGATATCGAGGTAGTTCGCGGCCAAGATAATCTCAAACAGCATCTCTTGATCGACCTGCATGAACTTCTGGTCCCACTCATCGATGTCGGTGGTCTTACGACGAGAGTCATCGTCGTCACCGGTGCTGGGGGGGTCGCCCTTGTGGTGCTCGCACCACTCAATGACCTTCCTCAGGACAGCTTCATTGACCTACGGAGCCGAATGTTAGGTTTGTTTAATGAATGGTGAGGACAAGTGGGAAAGGGTGGTAGGAATAACATACGTTAGGGATAGGGATAGCTTCCGTAGTATCACCAAGATCCTCGAGCAAATTCTTGATCAGAACAGAGCGTTGAGCGACATCGCGGTCTAAAAAAGCAGCATAAGTTAGACTTCAGATTCAGCGGTAAAGTGTTAAGGTGACAGGGACGTGTGGGGGGTGTGTGTACTAACCGATAGTAATCACAACCCCATCGCTGCTCTGGAATCTGAGCGTTGTTGCAGACATCTTGAAAATGGGAGGGAGGGTACTGGCGGGCCTAGAATGAATAGGTAGATGTTAGGGACTTGTTACTCGACAGGCGCAAGAATATAAACCTGCCCTGAGGGGTACTCAAGTGGGGGTTCGTTGCTGCTTACAGTCAAGAATTGTTTTTGAGATGAGCGTGAGTCTCAGATGGAAGCTGGAGGGATTCGAAGGTATAAATAGATGAGAGGGGAGTGGCTTTGTGGTGAATGAAGGCAGGAAATGTTGAAATTTAGTGTGTCGAAGTGAGTAGGTGTGTAGGAGGAGAAGCCCGAACTGGAGATCAAAGGGACCGGACGTTGTGAAAGAGCAGATGGCTGAGGCTGATGACTGGTCCTAGTTCGAGGGGGCGGGAAATCTCCGTCATCATTCGCTGCTGTGACGCCCCACTTGCGCGGTTGCAGCCTGTGGCTGCCTGGTCGATGCCTTGATTATGTTATCGTCTTTATGCCTTTGTGCCTTTGTGCCTTTGTGCCTTTGTGCCTTTGTGCCTTTGTGCCTTTGTGCCTTTGTGCCTTAGTACCTGAGCATCTTAGTGCCTTGATGCCTGGTCATCTGGGTGTCTGGTTGAGGCTGTGCTATCCGAAATACAACAAATTGAACAGACTTTCACAGAAGAACACCTTCAAAATCAACAAGCGAGTTCCCCAATGCAGTGTACCTTGTTCTTTTATCGAGGGTGTGTCGTAGCATACACCACTCGTACACTTAGACCTCGTCTTCAATGGCTCGTTCTTTATCTCAATCCCAGTGGCATCTGTTCCATTCAACGACTCTGGTGTTAGTGAGAATCCTTCCACAGAGTACAGTACAGTAAATACAGTACTGTACATGCTCAGCCGATTAGCATCTCAAAAGGACCAGAGCACAACAGTACATACGACTCAGTCCCTCCCTCCCTCTTGCCGAACCAAGTCCCTACCCAGTCATTGAATTCTTTGCCGTATCCGAACAAGATCAGTCAGACTGGACCAGATGCATACTGAGGGTGTCTCAGAACAATCTTATCTATGTCGCAACAGGTCTAAATCAATGCGCCCACTACAGGGGACAGTCAACCAGGATATTGCATACATCTCGAGATGATGGCTGCTGTCTCCCTCTCCGAAGCGAGAGTTCAGCTAGCTACCAAGCTCTCTCGTTTGCCCCACTCCCAGCATTGTTGCTCCAGCGCAGGGGGGCTCCTTTCACCCCCAAAACGAAGAGGGGAAAAAAAAAAAAAAAAGGACGTCGATAGCGCTGAGGTGCATTTAGTCCTCGTCGCTCAATGATATCACCCAACAACGCGTCGCCGGTTATCCGTCCGCCAAACTGACCGGAATCTTATTATCCTCCTCCCTCTGTCTCCCTTCCTTCCTTCGTTTGGCGCTTATGCCTGAGACCGTCGTTCCTTAATCTTCCTTAATCTGTTCTTCAGTCCATTCTTCAGGTACCTGAACCCCCCGTAGGCATGTACCATACTCTCCGCCGGACTTGACCTTCGTCACCTTCTACATCGCCCGCACATCTTACAGAGTCATGTGGTGGCGGCGAACATATTTGTTGCTCTTGGTAATCCGGGTATATTTTGCGCTGTCACCAAGCTATCTACACCCCGATGAAAACTTCCAAGGTCCTGAGGTCTTTGCAGGTAAGTTTCCAGCATATTAGCAGTCTGATCCGCGACTCTTTCCGGCTCCCCACCGCTCGCCAATGCCGTACATCTGATATGACTTTCATCTATTCCTTCGGCCGCATACACTTACTAGTCACTTCATAGGTCGGATTCTCTCCTATCCATCTCAACTCCCTTGGGAATTCACTGCCGATAAGCCGATCCGTAGCGTCTTCCCACTATGGCCGATCTACGAGGTGCCAATGAACTTTTTGAAATGGTTCTATACGGAAACTGGGGCCCAAAATCCTCCTCCACAGCTAGTCTACTTTGTGCTGCGCGGGGTCATGTTTCTACTTAGCTTTGTCTTAGAAGACTGGGCGGTATATGAGCTGGTTCCCTTGCCGCGCCATCGCCGCGCGACGGTGGTGCTGGTGGCATCTTCGTATGTCACCTGGACATATCAGACGCACACCTTCTCAAACTCACTCGAGACCCTCTTGGTGACCTGGAGCTTAGTTTTGATTCGTCGCATTGCTGAAAATAAGGTAGGCGCATTCATTTGAGCTGAAATGATAGAAAAACCCGTGGCTAAGCTTGTTGACAGCGACATCCTTCACTTTTTTCTTGCGCTGTGTTGTCGTTGATCGCAGTCATAGGTGTATTCAACAGAATCACCTTTCCTGCCTTTGTGCTCGTTCCAGGACTCCGACTGCTCCCTAACCTTTGGCATAGGTAAGTTCTTAAACCGCACACTTTAACTTGTATGTTCACAGTGTTGACCTTCAATGATAGGCCTTCATCTTTCCTTTCGATCGTTGGATTTGGCCTGGGCTTTTTCTGCCTTGCCGTCTTGGTTGATACGAAGTTCTACAGCTCACCTGCGACTTTCTGGGACGCCCTTCACAGTCCTGTAATTACTCCGATCAACAATCTGCTTTATAACTCCGACAAGTCTAATCTGGCGCTTCATGGACTCCACCCTCGATACCACCACTTCCTGGTGAATTTACCACAACTACTAGGCCCGGCATATTTAGCAATGATCTTGTCATTATTCAACTTCTCAGCCGTTCCATCTTGGCTTAGGGATATGCGCGCAGTCTCGGCCATCTCGGCAACTGTCATGCTTTCAATATTCCCTCACCAAGAACCCAGATTCCTGCTTCCTTGTGTCCCCCTTCTCCTCAGTTGTTTGCGCATACGCAACACCCGGAATTCCCGGTGGTTCCTAGTCGCCTGGGCCATCTTCAATGCTATCCTAGGGTTCCTCATGGGAGTATACCATCAAGGAGGAGTTGTGCCTGCACAGCTGGCGATGCCGTCTATCATTTCAGAAAGCGTACGTGGGTCAGACCTTGGCTCGCTCAATCCTCGGCTCGAAACAGATGCCACCGTGCTCTGGTGGAAAACGTATTCTCCCCCACTTTGGCTTCTGGGAAATGACACCACCCTTCCAGTAGATATCCGAACTCGAGACTTGATGGGAATGCCAGGATCAGAAGTGGTTGAAGAACTCGACAAATTGGTACCTTTATGTCACGAGAAGGAGCAAGCTGAAAGCCAAGGCGTGTCTTCACCCTTGGTGTTCGTGGTTGCCCCCAAGTCTGCTACATTCTTGGACCAATATGTTGCTCCTTTGGCCTCGTCGTCCGACCCGTCGGATCTAGAGCTGCATGAGCTGTGGCACTGGAGCAATCACCTCAATTTAGATGATCTCGACTTTGGTGACGACGGCATCCTGCCGACACTCAAACGAGTGACTGGGAGAAGAGGACTGGCTGTGTGGGGAGCACGGAGAGTTGGATGTGCTTGACTTAAGTCCTAGCCACATCAGCTCACACTGATCACCTGGTGCTGGAAGCGATGGTTTTCACGGGTTTGACATCGGCTTACCTCATCGAATCTAAGTTCACTAACTTAACCATTCTTGCCCTTTGATATTCTCATTGCCTTGCTTTTCTTTATATCTTCACATGCCAACCTCATAGTGAGCTGTCTCTTCGATCTTCACTATCTTCTTGTCTATTCATCTCATTCGCCTCTATTTCACTACCTTCACCACATACACTGTCTGGGTTATGGAACATGTGAGGTAAACAACTTGCGATACAATATACCCTTCTTTCCCCCTTCCACAAATCATACATATATACTCGGCCTATCTGCTTTCATTTCAGTCCTCTATCCGCCGGCGGCTCCTACAAAATTCCATCATTCACAATCTAGTCCCTTGCAGTCAATCTAGCGAAATACGTTGTTGGCTCGAGCTTAAGTCGCAATGCTTGACAGCTCAGAAAGTGTCTCGTCCATTTTCTGTATACTCGCTGTGTGAATCATCTTACCCACCGTGCCCTCAGCTCGTGGAGTCACACGGGCAGTACCGAAAGGGAGTTGGTGCCCCCCCCATCGAGTCACGCTCGCACCACCCTCCTTTCCAGCGTCTAAACTTCGAAATCGATCCAGACCTGCCCATCTCGAAAAGCTATCGACAGCCTGACGTAGATTAACCATGTCCAACCCTAATCATATACTGTAGAAACAAGTTTTCATGATTCCAGGACAAAAGTCCCATGCTTTTGAATTTTCCGCCTGGGTACTGAGTACACGACCAGGACTTGCACGGATTATCTAAGTGGACCAATGAAGAGTGGTAGAGAAGACGTATAAGCTTGAGTACGAGCTCCTAAATAGAACTTATTAGGCAACGGAAGAATATAAAGACATGCCCAGTATAGGCAGAGAAGAAAGAAGAGAAGCAAAGAGGAATAAGATGTTACGAGGCATCCGCCGGCTAGGAGGCTTGCACGGGACGGTACGAGCTCCCAGGCAGACTTGGGCTTGACCGCGATCTATTCTACATAGTCGCCCTTGTGGATAATTATTGCGAGAGTATAATAAGAGGGACACATCACGACGTTCATTATCAGAGAAGATGAGAGATCAATAGGGAAGAGCAGCATCCATTGGTAGGATGTTCAGCTAGATCGAAACATAAGAATAGGTGTGGAATCATAGATCATCAGGGTCGTCCGGGTTCTCGAACAAATAATTAGCAGCGAGCTCTTCGTTCTTGTCACAAGCGAAGTAGGCCTGGATGACGAGATCCCGAGAAAATCCAAGTCGGCAGAGCTGGTAATGAGGTTAGCAGCATTCCTAGACTTTCAATTTGTTCCTCATCAAAGAACATGAGAGGATACATACGCGTTCAATGGCGTCCCGTTCTTCTTCTGTGACGTGGATCTGATGCGTGCCGGGGGGGAGAGCCGCGTCGTCCTCCTCGCTCAACAATTGGAGAAACTGCTCCTCGTTCTGACCAATGAGCTGCGCAATTTGAGGATTGCCAGTGGCAACTTGTTGCAGGATAGGCTCGAGCATCTGCGGTTGTTGCTGGACTAGCTGACGGAGTTGCTGGAAGTGAGGGTTATTCCGGAGGAAATCGAGGCTGGGAAGGCCTTCGCCAGACCCAGCTCCCGGGCGGGCACCTCGAGTGCCGCCTTCCTGACCTCCAGCCTGAGCGGCAGCTTCGAACAGGTTAACATGTTCGTCATCAACTGGAGCCGGGGCACTTTCTTCTGCAGGAGACGCGGACGTTTGGAGTGCGCTTGCGGCGGCGGCGGCTTGCTGCTGTTGCTCCTCCTGGATGTTATCCGGGATGCCCTGAAGACCTGTCAGCGGATTGTGGAGAAAGCCAGATGGCTCCGGATCCACCTCAAGACTCACGTTCAGGAGGTACTCAATGGCGCGGTCAGGGTTGAAGAAGGCAGCCCTCATTGCACGGTTGATATCGCTTCTTGGGAATCCCATGCTTTCCATCTGAGCGACCACTGCCTCGCTTTGGGCACCACGCAGCAGAGCCGAGGGGTCATTGAAGGCGGGGCCGGCGGGCTGAGAAGTTCCCGAGGCGGCCGGAGAAGGAGTTGCGGGAGCTGCCGGTGAAGCAGTGGATGCCGATGGGGCAGGGGCAGCAGGGGCAGCGGGGGCAGCGGGGGCAGCGGGGGTCGAAGCAGCTACTCTTGCAGGGGTGGAGGGGGCTTGTGTAGAAGCGCCGGAGGCAGAAGGCTTGGGCTAAGTGAAGCGCCAAGATTAGCTTGATAGGAGGATAGAGATTGCCATATACAATAAGTCATACCTTGGACACCATGCACACTATAAAACCTTTCTCCTCGATGCTGTATGACTCGATGGTCTTATCATCTTGAAGGATCTTTCCTGTTGTGGCAAAATCTGTCAGCTACACTTGTCGAGCGTGTCGTCAAAGGATCGGAGCACGAAGCCGTCGTTCCCAGTAACAATTTCTGCCAAGCATCGTGGGACACTAATGACTGACCTGAATAAATGAGCTTCAACTGGGCGACTTCCCATCCTTTCTCCTGAGAGATTTTCCCCTTCACTTCTCCGACCTAGGAGAAACAGCGGTTTAGCCCCGCAATAACCTTAACCAGCTTCCATGATTTCAAGCAGGGAACTACCTACCGTCTCCGAGGGTTCTGCATCGATTACAAACTTTTGTTGTTTGAGGTCCTGAAGAGGAGATACAGGTCAGATTGAAAGAAGGACGAGCATGGTGGAGCAAAGGACAAGTAGGTACATACCTTGAACGTGAGCTTCATCTTGCGCCACCGAATGTTGAGAGATGGCTCGACAACGTGGGCGGAGGGGTTATGAGAGAAGACACTTAAAGGACGGGAGGGGGTGTAGTGGGGAGGGGCGACAGAGGGTTGCAGGGCTGTAGAGCCTGATGATAAATTGATCAAGAACGGTACTGAGTGTTAAGGATCTTTAGTAGGGAAGTAGATGAAGCAGAGGATGAAAGACCTGCGAAAGAAGCAAGGAAGAAGAAGAAGTAGATGAGGATGAGGATGAGAATGATTGATGACGAAGACGGATCATGAATGGCACCGAAAGAGGGAGAAGGAAGCCCAGAAGGTGGAGGGAGCTGGGAATCGGAGGCGGTCAGCACTCGCCGGTACCACCGCCACACTTTTTCCCCCTCATTCGCCAACTCGGAACCTCAGCCACACTTCCCTTTTCTGCTAACGAGTGTGTACCAGCAACAGCTGAGTACGGTAACGTGACGAGTTTATTCTCGATCTTACTGGTGTACTGTATGTAATTCGAGTATGCGAAGTCCATCCATACAGTAGAGGCCTCTATTAGTACTCCGTACGGTGTACGGAGATATATTTCTCGATTCTCGCTCACCAAACGGCTCTTTACCCGACTAGAACTACATATGCATATTCTCATTCTCCTCGATAAGCTTTTCCTACCTCTACACGAGGACGAAGAAAGAGAAAGAGAGAGAAAAAAAAATACTTATCAAAATAAATACATAAACAACACAATAGATAAATTGGGCTTGCCTATCCCAAGCGAGACTTTTTCCCATAATCTCATAACTGCCTTGAGACAAGGGACCTAAGTTACCTTCATTCAAGCCAAATGAATAAATCTTCTTTCTTCCAAATGTATCAGACCAACCCTTCCATCAACCAACCAAGCTGCTAGCCGGCACGCCCCGTCCCGATCACACCTGCAGCTGAACACAATAGTGTTCCTTGTTGTTCACCCGGTGTTTCGTCTGTCCTCCGTACACTCACTTTCATTGAGACTAGTAGCGTTGTCCCGTGGCGAGGATGGCAGCCCCACAGATCTATCGCATGGATGTATCACAACACGGCTGCAGTTGCCAGGAAGAAAGAGAAGAAAAAGAAGAAGAGGAAAGGGGAAAAAAATATGGACACCTCGAAAATGATATACGAGAAGCCAACTCATTCCATTGCACCCCCAACGCTCATTCAAGTTCATAATTCATCTCTTGCCTGGAGAAATCGCTTAACGTTACCACTAAACTCTCTGTTCCAGGTACCTCGATTTTCATGCACCAATGCCATAACGACAAATGCATCATGGATGAATCGCACCACCACCCATTTGGTTTTTTTTTTCGCTCGCCAGAAAGTGGGTGATATGTCATATCTCTAGTTTGCAGCACCAGCGCTAATATTGCGCCCCTCCGTATCCCTTCCTGGAGCCCAGATGGTCGATCCTTCCATTAAAGCCTTTCCCGGAACTCTGGATATCATCCCGGCCGCCTTGTACAGGACGCCACTGAATCTTGACAAATCCATTCTAGACCTGTTCCACGCGGCTAAGATACCTCTAGGATGCACTCATCCACTGCTGTCTCTAGTCAGTTCTGCGGCTGTGGCTACTGGCCAGCCATGATTGGGACATCTGGGAGGAAGGTATCCACGCATGTCAGATTGAGAACCAACCTCTATCGTCATGAACATGCCATCTCGGCCTCTAGGACCCAAACGATTGATCTCAGCATTGCATGACTGTATCAGATGTTGGATGAAGAACTCTTCATAGGAGCATGCCCGACTTTCCCGGTTCTCTCTGGTTTTTGGCCCCTCTTCGCTGCTTCTATGCCCGAGCTGAAAGAAAGGGCTTCAGAGACGAAGGCATGACAGCTGGCGAGACTTGCCCTCCGACCTAACTCAGATCGGGATCACAGTCAAACCAGTGAAGTTGGCATCTAACTCTTCGACATCGTCGCTGCCAGCCCCTAGTCTGACTGACTAGTGGTAGTACCTATGATCGAGACCATTCGGTATGAACGTCGACCATTATCCGATGTAGTCCTCCTTCTGCAACCCCCCCCCTGCCCCGCTGATCCCTAGACGTTGCATACGTGACTCTTCTTCGAAAAGTCCATGCATCTGGACTCAATTATCCTCGGGGTTCGACTTTTTCCCAAAGTTTTCCTTCTTCAGTTAATTAATTGACTTGCGATCATTCCCGGTTGCTGGGTATTTCCTCCGGTTCGACCCTTGTCTGTCACACCTTGTCCCTCGTTTATCATTTATCGAGTTCATATTGTTATTATTGTTATTATTATTATCATCGTCATTGCCAACTAGTCACGCCCACGATTTCATCCACCCCATTCCTTTTCATATCCAACACTCACTATCTTCTTCTCTCTTGGTTGTTTCCTGTGTCTTGGAAGTACCCGTCGTCTTTCTCGGATCATCGGCCAAATCTATACAGCCTAGAACGACACCATAGTGGCTTTCAGTATCATGAGAGAAGACTTGAGCGGGTTATGATCTATTGAGTTGCGACCAATAACTACCCCTTTCTGTTCCCAGCAATTGTTCAGGTGGCCTTGCTACCTCCTTCGGGCTAAAGCCTTGATCGTGTGGAAATAATCACACACGCACACACGCGCACCTTCAGTCTCGATCTTCTGTCCGTGCAGACCTCATTTCGATCTCATGTTGCTGAGCATCTTCAGGACTTCTCTGGCCCATATATTGGGAGGCTTCACCCTTTTGTCAACATTCATCACCACTGTCTTGGATGGTATCTGCTACAGTGTCTCCAAATCTCTATCATCGCACATTGCCTCGGTCGAATCGGCTATTGTGAGCTTGAGTGCAATCGACTGTGCAGTGATTATCGTATTGTTATTTCTTTGGGTCAAAGATGTCAGAGCAGAGGTGAGGGCGCAGTGGAGGGGTCACCGGGCTATTCTCTACGTTCTGATCGCCGTCTACCTCTCCATTGCCACCGGTATCACGGCAGGAGGAATCGCCTGGAGTGCAGTTCAGTCCATGACAGGGAAGACGACTCTGACCCACAAGCACCAGACCCTCATGCTAGCCCGCTGTATCATCTGGGCCATCTCCATTTTGAGCCAAGGAATCCTGGGTGGCTATCTCCTAACCTCACTGACAAAACGTGATGGTGGTGGTCGATGGTCAAGTTCTCTTTCTCAGGAGCTTGAGATTCTTCCCGACCAAGCCAGTGTTGGTGACAAGGACGACGTGGTGAAATCTCCGTCCATCATCCTTGAGTCTCCACGGCCTTCCACTGATGTGAAAAGAAGCTGCGACATTGTGCCGGAGCTTCAGCCTTCTGCTTCCCGTACAGAGTCTCAGAATTCTAATCGTTATTCCGGTCGGACGCTGTACCAACAGGACTCCAAGCAGAGCTCTTTCGACTTGCAGCGAACTCATATGGCGGGTACTGAAACTACAGTGACTCGTTCCCAAACAGACGACCCGGCTGATAACCCGACTGATAACCCGACTGTCAACCCTTCTAGCATGGAAGAACGGAGTGAGCCCCTTAAGATTCGACGAAGCTACTCCGGGGCCAAACGATCTTTCGAAGGGTTGATCCGTCAGTCTTCGTCAACTCGATCGTCCCCTGCCACATCTTCCACGCATCTAGCGGCTCCTGGTCGACCTATTCCTCCGAAGCTGAAGCTCACCGACGAAAGCTTTATCCATCCATTGTTCCGGTCGGATAGTGCATCGCCTCCCCCAACTCCGATGCCAGGTACCACTGTAATCGCCTCACCGGCCGCTGGGCAGACCATCTCCGTGCAGGCCCTGAATCGAGTGAGATCGACCCGGTCTCTCCGGTCCCACGTACCCCGAAGCCGATCACCCTTATTTGAGCAAGTGGAGCAGCCGCTTGCCGGGCTGGAGCGGAAGTCTGAGTCTTTGGAACGCAGTGGTCGGGATTCTCCCATGCCCAGCTTCATCATGGCAGCGGATGTGCGAAGCAGCATCACCCGGTACGAGAAGAAATATGACTTGAATGAATCCCCTGACGAGAGCTAGTCAGACGAGCTCCTGAAGGCCACAAGGAATTGGGATCTGGGTCTGGATGCCTCTCACTTGTTGTTATCTTTGTTCTCCTTTGTTAGATATCCTAAATATAGCGTTCGGTGTACTTAGCAGTCCATATATATATATATATACATAGTGCATGAGATGCAGCATGAGGTCTTCGAATCAGAGTCCGACGATCAATGAAGCAAAGGCTCGGAGCAGGCAAAGAAGAAGGTAAAGTAGCGACCGGTAGAAGGATAGCGACATCAGATTCCAGGGCACGGTTCCAGGAGCCGCATGATAAGAATGAGTGATTCGAGTGGTAGTAGCAGTTTTCATATACATATAGAGACTCGGGAGGTGAAGACAGATATCAATTAGACTTCTTTGGGACTACAAGGGGACAACTGAAGGGATTTGGGGAGAGAGAAGCACGCCTTAATCTGCCCCAATGGCTTGTCAATGATCTGTTTGGACGTGGCCAGAGAACTATTTCCCGGAAATTGTTTGCGGGAGTGAAGTTTTTGCTCGACATAATTTATTATACTGCATTCTAGTTTTGCAAATAGAGGGTTGAGGGGTAAACAGAGATAGATCCATGATATAAACCAGTCCGTCCGGGTGGGGAAAGAGGAGGAAATGGCTCCCGAGTCCCCGAGTCTAGGTACGTAGTCTTTTTTTCCCCCCGAGTGCCAATTCCAGTAAGTTACCGAGTACCTTACTTAGTTGACTTGACTTAACTACTAACTAGCAGCTGCAACATTCAACTTCAGCTTGTCGGTCAGCTCAGACACCAACTTATCTATCTGTCTATTAGGTAGTAACTAACTGATCTGACCGCGTCTTACCTCAGTTACAGGACCAGTGCTTCATTGTATCCTGGTGCAATTGGCCTGCATCTTTTCCCTTTCCCTCATTCCTCTTTTCATAATCATCATCATCATCATCATCATCATCATCACCATCATCGTCGTCGTCGTCGTCTTCTTCTTCTTCTTCTCCTCCTCCTACTCCTCCTCCTCTTCTCTGCTTTGCTAGAGTATTTCTTTTTCTTCCTTTTTCTGCCAATTTTTCTCCTTGGCCCCCTCCTCCCTTCTTTTCCCTTGTACTTACCGTGTTGGAAGTGGCCTATCTTCTCCTTCTCCCTCTTGCTCCTCTTCTTTTCTCGATCTCTAAGTCTCTGCTAAGTGATCTTTTCACTTGCTTGGCTTGTGACTGAAGTGTCTCTAGCATTGAGGGAAGCCTAAGGAGATTTTCATAGTACATACTAGCCAACCTTTCCTCTCGGGTGATGCGACTGACTCCACCTCAGCCTGCCCTCGCCGACTTTCTACTTGCAGGGAAACAAGTAAGATCTCCTACGATCGGAATCCGTTGATCTCCACTGCACGTTCTATTGAGGGTTTATGACTACGACCAGGTAACTAACTAGGGAGGAGTAACTTACCTCCAGGCTAGTTGACCGAAGAGGTTCTATATCCGGCGAGTTTGTTCTACCTCGAGCACAGTACAGGCCTTGCAGCGGGCCAACCAAGCGCCGCAGTTGGACGCCCATCGATCCACTTGGCCGAACCTCTTTTTACTTCCCTGATCCTCAACTCACATCAATTGATTCAATCATCATCTCCATCTCCATCTCCATCTCCATCTCCATATCCCTCTCCATTCCCATCTCCTTCCCCATCATCGTCCTCTTCCCCGTTCCCTCTCCCCCAATCTCCGTCGCTGTCGCAAATTCCGTTGACTTTTCTTTTTCTTTTCCACTCCGGGGTAAGTTTTTTTTTTTTTTTTTTTTTTTTTTTTTTAAAGAAACCTTTTCTTTAACCTTGACTTCTATTCTTCGCATTGAACCTCTTATTCTGCATTTATTGCCAACTTGCCTTACACTCCTTCCATTTTCATTCCCATAACCACTACCTACTCTTGTCCCTGTCCAATTTTGTCGCCCTCACCCACGTATCTGCCACCGCCACGATCAATTCCCCTCAATCGCAGTGCATTGTTCTTCCTCTTCAATCAATGGCTGGTGTTGTAAAGCCCTTCAGCCTCTCCCTTCGGACATAGACTTTCTGGCATTGCTCCATGGATCGTCCGCGTCTCCCTTTCCCGATCGCTTCGTTCAATCCATACTACTGATCGTACAATACTCCATGCATCTATCCACTTTCATCCATGCCCGATCTGCTTGCTAAGGACCCCGTGCTGTGTTGTTGCCGGCTGGGATAAATGTTCGTCTTCTGTATATGTTATGTTCATGGCTCTAACTTCCTCCAAACTTTGCACAACTGACACATTCTCTCCCCCCTCCCTCTCCGGCCAATGCACTATTGCTTTGCTGGATTTACACCTGTTCTTGGCTTCTTTTCTACTATCTTTTTCCTGTTCCATTTTTGTCCTCTGCTTCTTCCGTCTCCGTCATCACCATCGCACCCACCTTGCAGTGTTTTCTGCACATTTCTTTCTCATATCATCACCATTCTCTCCTTGTCATGGTGGATGTGCCATGAAAAGTTCACCCTCGTAATTCCACCACCACTGCTCTTCATCCTCCTTCTCAAGCCACTAGAGTATTCTCGTTACTCTGATATCCCTATACTTCATCCTTACTTGTTTCCTCTACTCCTGGACGAGTCATATATCTCATCATTGTGATCTCGTTTCCATTTGGACTCTTTCCGTCGACCTACTGACATAATTCTTGAAGGACAGCGATGGCGGGAGTGAAACGGAAAATTGACGCCTCCCAAGGGTCTGCTGCAGCGGTATCAGGTGGTAATTCTACAACACTTGGTGCCGCACACAGCACAACTAGTAAGTCTACGATTGCATGCTACCCAACAGCGCTTCTAATCCGACCCACAGATTCTACTGCTGATGATGCATCTCACGTCCGCGTGACTCGAAGCTTACGTTCAAGTCGAGATGTGCGTGCTACTCAAAATGATGCTCGTAATCACAGCAACGCTTCTGCCATGAGCGGAAGCAGCGGCAGCAACAACAGCCACCACAGCAACAGCAACAACACCACTTATAAGCCTAATCCTAATCGCCCATCGCGTATCATCACTCTTAGCACTAGTGTCGCTCGGGCAAACACCGCAGCCCGTGAACGCGAACAAGCCGCACGGGACCAAGCTCTTCGCGAGAACGTAACTCGTGAAACGCGCAACACTCGGACTCGTGCCGGTGCTTCGTGGCCTTCGCAGCTAGTAGAAGGCGTAGTGGCACCTGTGCCTGAAACCCCACGGCATAAACGCGTGAAACGGGGCCCCACGGTGGAAGAGACACCGAGAACCACGCGGCAATCGGCGCGGCTCAAAGCACATGTTCCATCCACCTCGACAGAGGATGGGATCGCTGATATAGGTCTGATGCCGAAGCCTTCGGAATCAAGCCCTTCAGCAACCGCTGCTCCAAGTAGCCGTACTCGAAACAAGAGCCGGCAATGGGCAGACAGTTCCAACGATACCATTCACAGTGGCGCCGCCAATTTTATCACTCCTGCAATCCCTGAGGCTGAATCGCCCTCACCCGATCGGACGACCCTCAACCTTGTGGAAGATACGAAGCCTCTCTACGAAGAGCCTCACCTGAGCCCGAACCTGGCTATTGAGGAATCACCCAAGGGTACAGTGGTCGAGGATGAGAAGAACGGGGTTAGTGAACCAGCACTGTCTGAAGCTGATGATTCTGTCAATGCTCCAAGCACCCCTAGTCCCCCATCTTCCTGGAAGCGAAGATCACCCGGACATTCACAGCATAACGGAGCTGATTCCGCGAACTTCCTCGAGTCACCCAGCAAAAAGCCTAAGCTGGAAGAGGGCGAATCTGATCGTGTTCTGGAGCAGCAGTCACAGCCCGTTACCAATGGCCTCAACGGCAGACCTGAATCGGAGTCTCTTGTAAAGGCTGCAACTGATTCGAAAGCCGATGGCCAGTCCCGGCACACTACAGAGGAAATAGAGGGCTCAACACCAGAGATCGTGACGGAGCCCACAGCTACTCGAGGTTTCCGCGGTGGTCGGGTTCGGGGTCGAGGGCGAGGGGGCCGCAGCAGGGGAGCCGCGCGCTTTGCAGCCAACAAACGAGGACGAGGTGGTACTCGTAGCGGCCGCGGGCGTGCTGGTCGACAGCTTGACAGATCAAGTGATGTCGAGCCTGACCGCTCTCCTTCTCCTAGTGCAGCAACTCAGAGACTCCGTGATCGGCAGCGTGAGCTGGATAAGGCATTCAAGAAAGTGGCTGCCGCTCAGCGTTTGGCTCTGGCAGTGCTGGCGACGCAATCTGAGAGACGAATCGCCCGAGACAAGAATGCACACAAGGATGTGCCCGAATTTGAGGAAGTCAACCAACAACTACAGGAGCGGCTGCGGCAGAAGAAGGATGTACTCCGCAGAGAATTTGAACTTAAAGTGGAGCAAGAGAATCGGTTGTTCCAAGCCTATAGAGAAGTAGTCGAGGAGCGTTTTCAGGTGGGTTTCATATGCCAAAGCATCCAGTCAGCATTCAAGGGAAGTCTACTAAGTACAGCAGGCATCCGCTCGCAATATCCGGGAGGAGCATTTGATCGCCAGTCAGGGAGCATACATGACATTTGTAAGAGGCCGTCGTGCTGCGGAAGATGATGAGCACACCGAGGTAAGTGGCCTTTATGGTTCCGATACACTCCGTCAAAATGTCCATATGTTAATATGTAGCATATGCTGATCAACATCTACAGACGGACGATTCAGAAACCGAGCCCGAGCGGGGGCCAGTTGTGCCACCCGCGCGGGAAATTTTCCGAGGGTTCAATTCCTCTTACGTCCGGGTTCCCTCCGGAGCTGCTGCTTACGAACGGGCCTGGCTTGGCTGGGATGATTTCGTTCAGCGAGCTAAAGTAGGCGAAGACATCGACCCGCAAATGAAGGAAATGTGTGAATCAGGGCCCTTCTCAGGCTTTACTTCGGATGAGATTATCGACATGCTCGTGAAGGCAACTGGGGTAGTGGATGTACGAACAAACGCAACAACGGCAGGGGAGACGCAGCCCCCGGTCATACATGATATACGCCCTCGAGCATTATCGGCCTTGGCGGATATCGCAGCCGCCGAAACTCCTCGGCCCCCTATCGCCGCTGCTCCCCGATTTCCGCCTGCCCCCCCCCATCGAACCATTCTCCCCCAGCCTGCTCTGACGCATGGTCCTCCTGAGCCTCGGGCCTTTGTCCTTCCCCCGCCCACTCCTCAGCGACAACAGCCCCGACGACTGCTCCCTGCCGGTCAGCAAATTCCGCCCATCAATGAGCAACTCGGCCTACCCGATCCATTTGCCTCGATGGGGGGACCGCCCCATCTTCCTCCACCGCCAGGATCGAATTTCCACCGGCCTCCGCTTCCTGGTTACTTGACTGGACATCATGCTCCAAGTCTCTATTATCCCCCTCCGCCACCACCCCCACCACCTGGACCCCGTCCACCTTATTAAGAGGCGCAGAATCTGTTTCTAGGCGTTGTTCCTCAGTCGGTCGCGGCGTCATACATCTGGTTTACTGATTATCTTTCCTTCCTTTGCGGATGTGTGACGGAGGCTTCTGACATATCGATTTATTTCCTTTCTTCTTACTTCTTCTTCGTTGAAGTAGATCATATTACCTTGGATTGTCTTGGATTGTGCTGGGAATCGGGACTCGGGACCTGGGAATTGGGACTTGGGACTTAGGACTTGCAGAGCGATTTGAAGTTTGTCTTATTTAGCAGTCACGGAGGATTCCCCTTAGCCGTGTAGTTCCGCGTTTGTTCTAATTTACTGCTTCATGGTTGATCTTCAATTCCAAATCATGGATGAAATGCTCACATTCTTAATCAGGATGAATCATGATGGGTCATAATGACTCGACGGCGAATGACTCTGTTTGGCCGTGTTTGGCCGCCTTCAGAACTCCGCCTCCCCTCTCCTCCCGATTGGGTCTAGCCCGGCGGGGCGGGGCATTTCGGCCTCGAAGCTTTTTATTTCCTCGTGCTTTTCCTTCCCAGTCGCCATCACTTTTCAAGGCTGCCCATCCTTTGCGAGTCCGACGCTGCAGTCTCTCAAGTCGAACTCAAATACCCTTTTCGCTGCTATTTCTCGAAGCCTGCATCCTCTTCTTCGAGTGTCTTGCCGCCGCCTCACAACTTGACAATCCCACTCGACCGTCAGCCCCGCCTCGCGCGCCCATTGTCCCTCCTCGACCTTCTGTCAGACTCAGCGAAGCGTGTCGACTGATTCACTTTCGGACGCAAATAAAAGCCATCCAGGTTTCATCACAATCACCATTACGATCAGCGAATTCGTGTGCGACTAGACGAAGTCATAATGGCTGTCCGTGCTCAATTCGAGAATTCCAACGAGTAAGATGGACCCGGGCTACGCATCTGCAACTGCGCCCTGCGCTTCGATCATTATTTGCCAGTTACGAGCTTGGAAGATTGCTGACTGTCATCAAAGCGTTGGAGTCTTCTCTCGACTGACCAACTCATACGCCATTGTTGCCATTGGCGCTTCCGAGAACTTTTACAGGTCCGTTCCCCTTCTCTAAAGTTTTGGCCTGGCCGCTTGGCATGGACTTTGTCCACTGACTCTTTTGCTAGTGTCTTTGAGGCTGAATTGCAGGATGTTATTCCTATCTGCCACGCTACCATTGCTGGTACTCGCATTGTCGGTCG